TGACCGGTGAGCCGCTAAGGCCGGTCCCTCAAAAGCGAGGGAAGAGGGTGATTGAGCTGCTGCTGCTGGAAGCTGCTGGGAAGGTTGAGATTCAATATTTGTCGCACCTAGCGAGCAGAAGCTCCAACGGAGCAGAAGCTGCTGTCGCTGCGCACATGGCAGATAACGCCAAGGGATGTGCGGGGCCCGATTACACATGATTTGGGGCTTCATAGTGCCCGTGGGCCTCTGTCTCCCACTTTTGGGGCTGGGGCTGCTTTCAAAGCAGGCAGATTTGCTCGAGGATATTCCCATCTGCTCTAAAAATCAGCAGCAGCAGGTGCCCAGGGTGGGAGTTTCACCAGCTCTGCCCTGTCCTGCCGCTGGGAACGTCAGACGTGCAGGAGGACGGGGTGCTCAGCACTGTGTTCATCAGACAGTTTGCATTTCTGTATTTTTTTTTCTTCTCTAGTCCAACGTTGCTGCTTCAAATGCCAAACTGGCCCTATTCTATGACTGGCTTTTCTTCAACCCCGAGAAGGACAGCATCATGAATATAGGTACGCCGCGGGGAGGCTTTCTCTGAACGGGCAGGGCTCGAAGAAGGGGTTAAGGGCTTCGGGAGCTGGTAGGGACAGGGGAATCTGGTGAAGAGAGCCCGGTAGTTTATCTCCAAAGGGCATCCTGAACTCCCAGGAGAGTTGCTTTGAAGGGAGACGCTTGTAATCGTCACTTTTGTGTTTGTGGTGGCTCTTCCTTGAGGTGGGTGGCTGAGTGTGGACCAGCCAAAAGAAATGGGGTTCCCTCTGCACCCCAGGGCCAGAAACTTGGGTCTGGAGGTGGGGTGTGGACACCTCCGGGGTTGTCAGCACAGGGCTCCCTGCTCTCTCCCTCCAGAGCCTGCCATCCTGGTGATGCATCACTCCATGAAGCCTCACCCCGCCATCACCGCCACGCTGCTGGACTTCATGTGCCGGGTGAGCTGCCCCCTGATCCCTGGGGAATGCCTTGGCGTGACAAATGGGCTGCGTGACCGGGGAGGGGGCTGAGTGATGAGAGCTGTGACTGTGGGGTCCACCCGGTCCCGCTGGCACCGGTGGGACGGAGAGAGGAGACCGCGGAGGGAAACAGCCGGGCTCTCCTCTGCTGACGGCAGCTGGGTGGGAAGAGATCAGGCTCCAAAGAGACCTGGTTGCTGTCTCAGCCTCGGGGGCTCTTTTTAGCCTCGATCCGTGGTGCGATGGAGTGGACGTGTGGTGGCCGGGAGATCCTCCCGTGGGGATTGTGGCCGTGCTCTCCTCCGAGCGCTGCCCGTCACCGGGGCGGCACCACATTGGGTGCGAGTTGGCTCCTTTCAGCCTTCTCTGCCAAGACAGAAGCTGGGAGCGGTCCAGCGGTGAGCACGCCCCGCGCTCTGCACGCCGGCCCATGCTGACCCGTCACGGAGGGCAGGAACGGTAACGCGGGCTCAAGCAAAGCCATGTCTTGGCTCCCCTGAGAGTTTCGGGGCACAGGCTCTGTCCTGCAGGAAGGGAATGTCGTGAATCCCCAGAGCCGGTGGTGCTGGAGCAACAAAACAGCATCATCACGCTGCCCAAAAGAAGAAAACCAAACAAAACCCAAAAAATCCTTTTTTTTTTTCTTCTCCTACATCATCTGGTCTGTTCTGCCCTGATTGCGAAATACCCTGCAGGCCAGCTCAGCACCTACCAGCAGCCCTTTTAACCTTCCCTTACCTAGGCTAAATCAAGGAGGGATTTTCCCTTTGCCCACGTGCCAAAAAGTCCGGTCAGGCTGCGGTCGCTCAGCCAAATTATTCTCCTCTCAAAAAACAGCCACCAAAGGCCTTGGTGAGTCTCTTGGTGCACCCAGCGCCGTTGGTTGGGCCCATGTGTCGTTCATTAATGGGAATGCCACCGTGGGGAGGCACGTAAGACTTTCCAACCCCGCAAAGAAATCCTTCCAGAAGGCTGAGTGTTAGCAGGGAAAAAAAAGGCTTCTGAGTTGTTCACCTTGCCCCAGTGTCATCCCCCGGGGGCGAGCTGCAGCAGCAGGGGACAAGTCAGAGCCATCCTCTTGCTTTCAAAGGCAGCCAAGGGAGCAGAGCTGGTCCTGGCCCCTCGGTCCTGCAGGAAGCGGTGCCAAGAGTTGCCAGTTCCAGTAACTCGGTCCCAGGGAGAGCTGATGGGGTTTTCTTGGAAGCGGGATGTTTCCGCGGTGTGAGCCGCGAGCTGCACCGCTTCCCTCCCTCGCGCCCAGCTCTGTGTGCTCCCCTCCAGTCCAAAAAGCAGCTGCTGGCTTCTGGCAGAGGAATTAGGTGGAAGGTTCTTGGGATGACCCACATTTCGGGGAGGAGTCCTTCCCTCCAGGAGCAGAAGGCTGCGTGCGGATGGAGCTGAGAGCTGGTTAGGATGTTCTTCTCGATCTGCTGCCGCTTGGAGCCTGGCCCTGGCGAGCCCCAGGGCTCTTCACAGCTCCCGAGGCAACATCCAAGTGTTTTTCTCATGCCTGGGATTTGCACTGGCTGACTCCGTGGGGTAGAAAGGCCAGAGGAGTGAGCCGGTCCCCCTTCTCTGCACTGTCCCCGAGAGCTCTCCTGCTGCCCCTCTTGGTCAAGAGCCGCGGGGACGTGGCGCTTGAGTCGAGAGTGACCCGAGAAGCCGAGCGACGGCCTTTGCTAGTCCTGCCGGCCGGCACAGACCCGACGGCAGGCAGAAGGTTCGTGGCACTAACGTGGTCGTTCTCCTGCTTTCAGATCATTCCCAACTTCTACCCCCCGCTGGAGGCTCACGTCCGGCAAGGCGTGTTCAACTCTCTCACCCACATCGTGGAGAAGCGCGTCCTTGCGTAAGCCAGGCCGGAATGTTATTCCATTTGTACAACTGCTGCACGCACCCGTTTTCCTGGCTCTTGCCAGCCTGATCCTGATGACCCCCAGGCTCTGTAAGAGCTGCAGAGGGCATTTGTGTCGTGTACGAACCACAGAAGAAGCCTTAATTGTGTCTCTGTGGTGCTGAGGCTTTTCCGGAGAGCGACAGCTTGAAGCATCTTGGTGCTTGAAGCGTCTCCCTTGAAGCGGGGGAATGGGTGGGTTAAGAAAGCTGGAGCCGCTTGAGGTGAACAGAAATGTCCCCCAGCGCTTTGTGGTCCCCAAGCTGAGCGGAGCAGCCTTGCTCCAGCCTGCAGGCAGCGCCTGCGTCGGCCAAATTCCCCTCCCAGGAGGTGAGACCTCTTCTCCCCTTCCCACATCCCGCGAGGGACCCCCCGGTTTTGCTGTGGGGAGGAAGGTGGGAGCTTGTAGTCCAGGACAAACCGAAGCCCTTACCTAAGGGAGGAAATCCCCCCTCTCGTGTCCGCTGAGGTGAAGCTCCGCGGCAGCGCGACGCTTTCCCTCGTCCCTCATCCCTTTCCCTTCCTGCAGACACCTGGCCCCTCTCTTCGACAACCCCAAGCTGGACAAGGAGCTCCGCGCCATGCTGAGGGAGAAGTTCCCGGAGTTCTGCAGTTCGCCCTCGCCCCCCATTGAAGGTAGGGAGGGAGTGGGGTGGGGAGAGGCTGGGGGAGCTGGTGTTGTTTAGCCTGGAGAGGAGGTCCCGCAGCGGTGGCGGCTGTTCCGGGGGTCGGGCTGGGATTCTGGGGAGAGGAGGGCTCTGCGTGCTCAGATTTGTAGATTTTTGTGGTCTCCCTTCGTCTCAGCCCCGCTAAAGATGCACCGCCCGTTTCTCGCTCTGCTCCGCAGGGGGTCCTTGGCCTTTCTTCTCCTCACACAATCAGGTTAAACAAAGAGCAAGCACTCCTCACCTGTGTTTAGCAGGAGAGCGCTGCTGCTTTGCCAGACCTGTTTTGCTGTTGCGTGAGCTGCTCCACCTGAAGGGACCCAGCTCCTCGCCAGCGAACCCCAAGAGCTGGCAAAGCTCTGCTCGGGGGACTCGAGCTCTGCTCCTGGCCTGGGCGAGGGCTGAAATACTGAAATGCTGAGCAGCTCAGGTGGAGAATGACCTGGTCCTGCCACACCTGGCACTGGGAAGGGAGGGTTAAATGGAGTAGTCGGGAGCTCCCTTCCCCTGTGTGAGTTTTGCAGGGTCCAGCACTTGCCCAGACTCTTTCTACCCATTTCAAAACACTTTTATTTCCATGCTGGAGCTTTTACTCGGTAGGGATGACTCGTAGGCAGAGCCCTCGGCCGTGTGAAGAGCCGCTGTTGCCCCACTTTCTGCTCTGACCCCTTTGTTTACATTCCGGTAGTCAAGATCGAGGAACCCGTCTCCATGGAGATGGACAATCATATGTCAGAAAAAGATGACAGTTGCTACGACAATGCCGAGGCCGCGTTCAGTGACGACGAAGACGACTTGAACAGCAAAGGTGAGGAGTGCTCGGGCGCCCGTGCTCCTGAGTGCTGCTTCACCGCCGCGTGCTTCGCTGCCGCTTGCCTCGACGCCGGATGGCGTTTTCCCCGCTCGTGGGTGCCTTCCCTTCGTGATGGAGGATCCCGAGCCAGACATCTGTAAGCACAGTTCCCTCCAAGCCCGTTTCCCATGAGATTTGAGGCCAATGCTCTGCTGCTTCCCAGTCCTTGACAGCAGATCTGGCACAGATCCGTGCTCAAAGGGAAAACCCGTTGGGCTTCGTCTCCTTGCCTCAAGTTTAGCCCCTTCCAACGTGGCGTTTCCTCCACCCACGCACCCCCTGACCAGTGTCAAGCCGGCTGCCTGGCTGGGGATCCCCGGGGCAGATGCTTGGCTGGCTGGTTTCTTTGGGAACAGGGTGTCTCAGTCCTCAGGCAGCTGCTAATGAGGCTCAGGCCTCCCGATTGCTCAGCCACACGGTTTTGGTTACGCTCGCTCCCTCTCGAAGCTGAGGGGGTTGACAGGCCACAATCCCTTCTGCTCGCTCTCGGGAGTTAGAGGGATCTCAAGCTGTTCCTGGCCTCGGTGCTAGGACTCTGGTGGGCTTCTTGCCAGGGAAAGGGTGTGACACCGCACTGTGGCACCATCTTCACTGCCCCATCAAGCCCAGACGCCCGCTTGGGGCCCCCCGAGAGGGACACAAGCTCAAAACCCACGTGCAGGGAGGATTTTTGCAAAGGGTGTCGGCTGCCTTGCCCCCTCTCTTAGGGGCTTCTTTGCGAGCGCTTCTGCCTTGGCCCTGGCGCTTCTGGGCTCCGCTGCGGCTCATTTTTGTGGCCTGGAATGAGCCCGGAGGATGGGGGTGTGGAAAAGCAGTTGGGGTATCTCGGTCCCAGAGTCCTGAACGCGAGAGAGGCTCGTGAGCTAGCGCCTTCTCCTGAGGGTGTTGAAGGACAGGCAGAGCATCAGGTTTGGAAACGGGATTGTGAACGGGAATTGTGGGGCTGGGCATTCCCAGAGTTTGGATCCCATCCTGCCTTCCCGTTCCCCGCGAGCCGGGCATGGCTCTGATGGCAAGAT